ATAGATAGATAGATAGATAGATAGATAGATAGATAGATAGATAGATATATGCTGAGTACAGTGGGGCATGCCTTTAATCCTCACACTCAGGAGACAGAGGCAGAAGGATCACTGTGAGTTTGAGGCCAGGCTGGTCTACAGAGTGAGTTCCAGGAGACCTAGAATTTCATAATAGAGACCGTGTCTCAAAAAATAAATAAACAAACAAACAAATAAATGAAAACAACTAAAAATATTTACTCTGTATTCACATGTGTACATGGTGTGTGTGTGTGTGTGTGTGTGTGTGTGTGTGTGTGTGTGTGTGTGTGTGTGCAGGCATGGAAACCAGAGCTATCTTCTGAGGTTGGCTTTCTCCTGCCAAGTTCAGGCTGTGTCTCTTCTCCAGTGTTTTCCGGCCTTTATTTCATACCTATGGCTAGTCATCTGGTGAGCGGCCAAGACAGCCGCCTGTCTCTGCCTCCCAGCTCCGAGGAGCACTGGGATGATGCCTGTGCCCCCAGATCCAGCTTTTACATGGGTCGAAGTCATCAAGCTAAAAGCAAGTAGCATCTCTACTCACTGAGCCATCCCCCTGGGCCAAATTCTTTTAAAAAAGAAACAGAGCTAGAAAGCTGGGCATGGCGGTTCGTGTCTGTAACCCTAGCCCTTGGAAGGAGGAGACAGGAGGATCGCCATGAGCTTGAAGCTAGCCTGGGTAAGAATCTGTCAAAAATGAGTAAGTGGGCTTTGCAGAGGCCACTGTGCCCTGTCGACACAATACAGCTGTGGTCAGCCCTACCGTGTTCTTGGAGATCACAGCGGATGGCAAACCATTCCAGCTGTTTGCAGACAGAGCTCAAAACACAACAGAAGAGTTTCGTGCTCTGAGAGAGAAAGGATTTGGATAGGTTTCCTCCTTCCACAGAATTGTCCCGGGATTCACGTGCCAGGGTGGTGACTTCACTCGCCACATTGGCACCGGGAGCAGGTCCATCTATGGGGAGAAATTTGGGGATGAGGACTTCATCCTGAAGCATCCAGGTCCTGGCATCCTGTCCGCAGCACATGCTGGACCAAACATAAATGGTTCCCACTTTTTTTTATCTGCACTAACCAAGACCGAGTGGCCAGACGGAAGCCTGTGGTCTTTGGGAACATGAAAGAAAGCTTGAGCATCGTGGAAGCCATTGAGTGTCTGGGGTCCAGGAATGACAAGGCCAAGAACAGCACCATCTGCAGCTGTGGACAACTCTGATTCTTTTGACCTGTGGTCATCTTACCTCCTGCAGCTCAGGAGAGCGTCTCCACCACGTCTGTTCCAAGTACCCCGTAATCTCTGCCCTCACTGACATTCTTGGGGGTTCCCTGTTTTCCTCATTTCCCTCCAAGTCTAGCCGGACTGCAGAGCTAAGCTTATGATCATGAATAAAAACAAAACAAAACAAAACAAAAAACTAAAAAATAAATAAATAAATAAAAGAGGAAAGAGAAAGAGCACGCATGCACCCTTTCAAGATGACGGCTGAGGAGTTTGTCAAGTGCTAAATCCTAAATCGTGCCCATGTACTAAGCTGGCCCCCACGAAATTGCTGGTGTGCCTCCTCCCCTCCCCCACCAGGGTGCTAAGCAGGCAGCAGAGGCCGAGGGTCTCCTTGGTCACGTGTGGCGGCATGCACACAAAACATACTCTGACTCAGTTTCCCCCTAAGCGAGGACTTTGGGTTCCTAACAGTTACACGCCTCCCCCCCCCCCCCCCCCACCCCGCCCCCGGAACAACGCCGCCAGATGAGCCAACCTCGATCCACACACAGCCTCCCACCCGCCACGGAAGGAGGACACGGCCACCGGTTCCATGTTTATTTCGGAAAGTGATGAAAACAAGAGACCACTCTCTCTCCACAATAAATAGCCTCCCCCTCCCAACGAAATTTAAAAAAGAAACAGAGCGTGTGTACACACAGGGGTTTGAAGTGACCTCGAGCAGGGAAATGAGCACCCCACCAACCCCTTCCTCTGCACCCACTCTCCTGTCTCCTGACGGGCAGGTGGGCCCAGTCCACCCCAAATCACCAGAGCCTTCTCCCCGTCTCTGGTTGGTTGGCTGGCTGTTATGAAAATGCATGTAGGTATCTTTACTTTCAGGTCAGAGATTAACAGTTTAGGTGAGAGACCAACAGTTGAAGAAGAGGACAGGTCTTCAGTCCCGGAAGCTTCCCTGACCTCTCCACCCGGCCAGAAGCCATGAAGTCCAAAACGGGTCCAAAACTTTCTGGAGTCCATTCTCTAGGGAACCATCGATCAAAAGCAGCACCAGGTACATGACTGTGATTCGGGCAGAGGAAGGGACAGGGGACACTCCTGTCATATTTCCTAGTGGGCCAGGAAACAGCCATCGAACCCCAGGATCCTTCTTGCCCCTCTCCTTCCCCAACCAATCACCGCACAGGGAAGGGATGGCGAGAGCTCGGGGGCCCCGTGTCTGTTGTCTAAGTTAGTTGGCGCCTTCCGATTCCGTGGCATCTTCTCAGTTGGGAAAATAGTTATAAAACTGGCCTTCGGTTTCCTTATCAAAGGGCGAGGGGGCTCCGGCAGGAGAGGAGCTGTCTCCGCTGGAAGGGTAGGGAGATATCCGCCTCCTCTTTGACTCCCCTTCGCCTAGTCCCGAGTCGCTGGGCTCCGGCCTGAGGGAGGGCACCTCAGTCCACAGTGATGGGGAGCCCTGTTCCTCTGGCCCCCTTCCATCTGTGGCTCCCAGGCCAGGGTCCATGGGCAGAGTTCGCATGGGACGGAACCAGCCAGCCGGGCTCATCTTAGTTGGGTACTGAGGGGCCACAGGCCAGCCAGCTCCTGGTGCCAGGACTTCTTGGCCGCGGTAGTAGGGCACAGTGGGCCCGGAGGCAGAGGGCAGGAACGAGGGCTTCATGCTCACTGCTCGGAACTCGGCCTCATAACTGTGTTCCCGAGGTGTGCCCAGCCAGTAAGGTTGTGACACCACATCCTTGGGCTGGCCGGAAAGGTCAGGGTAGAAGCGGCTGGGAACAGTGTACTGGCTGGACAGAAGAGGTGAGTAGGGGTCTCCCGCAAGGAGTTGACAGTTGGGTCCAGGTGGGGAGGGGACGCCGGTGTCAACAGATGTATACATGCTGAAAGAAATAAAAACAGCAAATGAGAAACCAAGTCACAAGGATGTCTCTTCCCTGCCCTGTTCCCCCCGCCTCCCTGGCCTGCCCGCCTCCCAGACCCCCAAAGCAGAGACAAGCCATATTGAACAGTGATCTACAGTCCCATCTCAAAAAGACCAAAGGGGCACTTACGACTCAAAGTTCTCCCGGAAGCCTTTGGCAAAGGGGTTGTTGTCGATTTTCAGCTGAGTGATCTAGAGAAGGGAAATAGAGTTGCCTGAGTCTGAGGCTCACTCAGACTCCCCCCCCCCAAAAAAAAAAAAAAAAAAGACTGTGCCTGCCCCTCAGCAGATGCCTGGCCCCAGGCCCCAGTGGCCCAGCCCTCACCTCAGCGTTCTGGTAGGCAGTCACCGCAATGAACTGGGTCTCTTGGAAAGTGAAGACGTGAGTGTTGGAGGCGCTGCAGGCGGCCTCGGTCTCTCCATCGTTCACCTCCACGATGTGGAGCCGGGGCTGATACTTGTGGAGGGACTGCAGGACGATCATCTGGAGAGCAAGCCGGGTGGCCGAAGGGTCACCGAAGGTGCTTCCGACCCCCACGGTGGCCTCCTCCTATCTGGAGCCACTTACCCCGCCAGTAACCACTCGGCTCGTGCCTTCACCCACTCTACCCCCGTGCAGCTTCTCCTAAGCCGCCCAGCTGCTCTTTGGGGCGCCTATTCTGGCCTCTTGTCACTCCCCTGATCCTACATATCCTTGAGACCAAGGTATTAGCTCCAGAGGTTGTGCGTGTATGGAGGTGTGTGTACGTGCGTGCCTCCGTGTGCTCCTGTGTCTATGCACAAACGGATAACCTCAGGCACCATCCACCTTTTTGAAGGGTCTTGGAATTCACCAAGTAGGCTGCCTGGCCAGCGAGCCCCGGGGGTCTCTGCCTTCCCAGAGCTAAACTGACTGGTTCATGCCATTACAGCCAGCTTTTCTTTTCTTTTCTTCCTTCCTTTTTTTTTTAACATGGATTCTAGGGATGAAACTCAGGTCTTTGTCTTTGCAAGGCAAATGCTTCCCACTGAATTGTCTCTCCAGCTCAAGGTTTTAAAACACAGGGTTGGGGCTGTGGAGGTGGCTCAGCAAGCGCTGGCAACCTGAGTTTGGTCCCTGGGATCCACGAGGTAGAAGAAGAGAACCAACCCCAGCAAGCTGCCTTCTGACCTCCACAGACACGCTCTAGCACACTAAACCCCCAGCACAAAACAAACAAGTAAATGTTTAAAAAAAAAACACGAAACAAATGTTCACGAGGAAGATCCTTTACATCCGTTCCCTGGGACAACAGGACCCATCAAGGTGATAAATCATGAGCTAGTGAAGAAGGAAGTCCCCAGGCTGGTTTGGCCTGTGCTGACCAGAATGTGAGTCCTGCCAGAGATCCAGTGTCCTTCTGTGTCATCGTCTTCCCAAGGTGGGTAGCAAAGAGCCAGAGTTCAGAGAGGAAGGAAAGGGGCCGGGGCATCAGGAGCATGCTTGCCTGGCATGCACTAAACCCAGGGGCCACATACAGAATCGCATCAAGCCGCACACTGTAATCTCAGCACTCAAAAGCAGAAGGATCAGAAGTTCAAGATCATCCTCAGTTTATGTAAGGAGGGGAGGGGAAGACACGAGAGGGGGAAGAGGAGAGGAGACGAGAGGAGGGGAGGGGTGAGAAGGAGAGAAGAGGAGGGAGGGAAATGGGGAGGGGAGGAGAGAGGTGGAAAGGGGAGAGAAGAGGAGGGGAAGGGAGAGGAGAGGAGGAGAGGGGAAGAGAGGAGAGGGGAGGGGAGAAAAGAAGAGGAGAGAGAAGGGCGGTAGAGGGGAGGAGAGGAAAAGGGAGGGGAGAGGAGTGGATAGGGGAGGGGAGAGGAGTGGATAGGGGACGGGAGGACAACCCAGCAGTATAGAGTGGGTGTTAGGAAAGGCGAGAGAAGGGGTCTCAGCTGCGGGGGCGGGTGGGGCCGACAGTCCTACCTGGGTCACATTGTTGGAAGCCCCCTTGTTGTTGGTGAGCTTTAGTTTCCCAAATGAAACTTCCTGGCGCATCCAGTGGGCTCCGGTGTTGGGGGAGTCTGGGTGGACGTACAAGCGGTTCCCTGTGGACAATTAACCTTCTTGCTAAGTATTGAACAGACCCTGGGGAGGTGGGATCCTGCCTGTCCTGAGAATGTGAGAAGAGATGCAGGGAGGGGACAGGCAGGCTGAGCGGGAGCAGAGGAGGCGGAGGTGACAGTCCAAAGGAAGGGAGGATATAGGAGGCTCAACCTCTCACACCAGGGGCAATGGCTCGAGCCATCCACCAGGGGGCGCCCCGCCTTGGAGAACCAGCACGCCCGCCACTCCCGAAGGGGATCGTACCTGGCATGCTGCCTTCTGCCTTGCCACACTGCACCCACTTGCCACTCTGGTACCGCCAGTGGTGCTGGTCCACCAAGACCACATCCACAAACATCCTGTAATGGCTCGTGGGCTCCAGCCCGGCCACAGTGAACGAGAGGAATGGGAACATTCGCCTGTGAGGGACAGAGAAGCCCCGGGGGTCCGTCAGCCTAAGCTCAGCGAGGATCACCTGTGCGCATGCGCGTGCGGCAGCCAGCCCTCTCCACCTGCTCACCGGAGCCAACTGGCCGCAAGTTACACATGTAACGGAAAATTAATTCGTAGGGCTGGAGAAATGGCTCAGCGCTTAAGAGCACATACTCCCTTCCAGAGGGTCTGAGTTCAGGTCCCAGCACCCACAGCAGGCAGCTTACAATAGCCTGTAATTCCAGCTTCAAGGTGATCCAACGCCTCTGGCCTCCCTCCACAGACGTCTACACGCGCGCGCATGTGCACGCACACACACTTTATTAAAAATAAATCTTTTAGCCGGGTGCGGTGGCACACGCCTGTAATCCCAGCACTCAGGGAGGCAGAGGAAGGTGGATCTTTGTGAGTTTGAGGCCAGCCTGGTCTACAAAGCAGAACAGCCAAACCCTGTCTTGAAAAACAAAAAAATGGGCAAAATAATTTTTAAAATTAAATTTTTAAATTAAATTGTGGCTGGGTCAGCCTGGTCTACATAGGGAGTTCCAGGACAGCTAGGGCTACAGAGAGACCCTGTCTTGAAAAACAAAACCAAAAAACCTAAAACAACAACAAAATCAAATCGTACTAGCCGGTGTGGTGGCGCACCCCTTTAATCCCAGTGCTTGGGAGGCAGAGGCAGGAGGACTCTGAGTTCGAGGTCAGCCTGATCTACAAAAGCCAATTCCAGGACAGCCAGGGCTATACAGAGAAACCCTGTCTTGAAAACAAAACAAAATTGTACAAACTTGACGATTAAGTACATTCTAAGAGCGCACAGCACTCAGGAGCATCTTTTTGGCATTTTGCTCAGCTGTACTGTGGCCTGAGCTGAGGTTATTTGTGTCTGTCGTAGGAGGTCACAGAGGAGCTGACAAAGGCGGACGTCTCCCCAACTCTGCGTTCAACCCGGTCATGCTGGGAGCCTGGAGCCAGCCACAGCCCTGTCTGTAGGGCCAATGACTAAACCCTGGGCCTCGTGTGTGCCAGGCTAGCACCCCACCGCTGTGCTCCATCCTAGCGTGTAGACTTTAGAGCACGCTCTCCTCTCAAAAGGCCATCGGCTAGATATTTATCTGGAAACCACAGTCTCTAACACTGGTGTGCCCCCTGCGTGGGCCGAGGACACCGGCTGGCTCTCCAAAGATAGTTCCCAGAAGGTGGTCGTGCCTCTGTTCCGCTTCTCCACCGCAGCTCTCCCGCTCTGTCCCACGGCACTCCCTGTCCCATAGTCCCGGCACTAACGTCTGTAGTGTGGCCTGCGCCTAGCCTGGGCCTTCAGAAACTCGGCGACGGCCTAGGTGTCGTGAAGGCTCTCGCTGTTCTTGGCTTAGTCTGGGGTCCCAGGGAAAGCAGAAGTCCGAGGACGGGATTTGGCTCTCTCTGCCACCGTTCTAAAGCGAAAGAGCCAGAAGAGGAAGCCCTCTCCTGCGATGGCCTCCCCACCACTTCCACCATCACCGCCCCCATTATCACAGTCATTCCAACCACACCCTCTATCACAACCGCCATCGTGCCCGCTGCTATCTCCGCCATCGCTTCGACACTGTCTTCACACTGTCACAGCCCTCGGGGTTGCTACCGTCGCTTCCACAATCGTCACCATTATTACCCTCCATGGTTACAACCACAGTCTCTCCAAACATCGGCTCTGTTATCTCCACCACAGCTACAGCCATGATCACCTCCACCACAGCTACAGCCGCCAACTCCACCATCGCTACAGCCATCGCCTCCACCATCCCTACAGCCGCAATCTCTACAATCTTATTAATATATTCACCATATCTCCTATCTCTCAAATGAACGAATCTCATGAAAGCCACCACCTCCCCTCTCTCTCCAGCTGTGCCTCCACCATGGCCATCACATCATCACCAAAGCCACCGTGTCCACCATCGCTATAACCACCACATCCACCATCTCCATCGTAGTTACAGCCACTGCCTCACCCACCATCACGACAGCCACTACTTTCAGCATCAGCATCACCATCACTACCATTACCCTTCTACCACAACCTCCCTATCTGAAAGCACTACCATTGCCATCTCCTCCATCCACTCTAGCCACAGCCTTCACCGTCACAACCACTGCTACCCGCCTCAGAGTCAGCACCAGTTCCCATAACTCGGCTCTGCCTTCACCCCAAGTGAAGGGAGTAGGGAGAGCAGGGTTGTCAGGACAGCAGAGACAAACACTCGTGGGATGCCCCTTTCACTCCCACATCCCTCTTCCCGGGGGACCACTCAGATCATAGTTTCTGAAGCTGGAGAGATGGCTCAGTAGTTAAGGGCACTAACTGTTCTTCCAGAGGATCCAGGTTTGGTTCCCAACACCCCAGGTAGTTCACAAGTGTTTGCAACTCCAGTTCCAGGGGATTCAACAGCCCCTGGCTTACACAGGCACCTGCACATGAATGGTGCGCATAAGCTCATGCAAGCACACGTACACATAAAAATAGATTTTAAAACTAGGGAGCGGGGTGTGGCGGCACAGGTCTTTATTCTGAGTGTGATTGTTAGTTGTTTTTGTTTATTTGTTTTTCAAGACAAGTTTTGTCTGTGTAACCCTGGCTGTCCTGGAACTTGCTATGTAGACTAGGCTGCCCTCAAACTCAGAGATCCGCCTGCCTCTCTGCCTCTGTTGGGATTAAAGGTGTGCGCCACCATTACCCAGCTTTATTTTATTATTTTGAAACAGGGTTTCACAATGTAGCTCTGCATGCCTTGGAACTTGCTATGTAGACCAGGCTGGCCTCAGACCCACAGAGATCAGCCTGCCACACCTGGCTTGGCACTTGTCTTTAATGCCAGCACAAGTGGATCTCTGTGAGTCTGAGGCCAGCCTGGTCTACATATGGAGTTCTAGGACAGCCAGAGCTACATAACAGGGAGACCCAGTCTTCAAAGGGTGAGGCAGCCAGAGAGATAGCTCAGTGGTTTAGAACACTAGCTGCCCTCCCAGACAGCTTGGGTTCGAGTCTCAGCACCCACACGAAGGCCCACAACCACCTGTAAGACCAGTTTACTCCTTGGGATCCAGCACTCTTTGTTGGCCTCAGCAGGTACTAGGTCCTCATGTGACACACACGGATGCATGCAGACATAACATCCACACATTACAACATCCACACACACCACAACACCAACCAAAGAAATGTAGTTTCTTCTGTAGTAACCAGTTCTCATTCACAGTTTCTATTCTAACGGAATAGAAAGAAAGCGACACCTTCTTGGGTGGTACCAAGAACCCAGGGCCTTGCGCATGCTAGGCAAGTGCTCCGCCACTAAGCCATCTCCCCAAGCTCCCAGCATGCTTATCAATCCTCTGCTTACACACTAGATAGTTCATCAAGCCAGTCCTTTGAGATATAAAATGTTCCTTAAAACATTATGCCTGAAGTCAGGGAGGCTTATAGATAGATGTTGACGAGAGCCCCATGCTGTGGTCTCTGTCTCACTGTCCTACTTTTATCCTGATAGCGGGTGACAAGAAACTCAGGAAGATTGTGAGTGAAAGGCATAGGAGGTGTGTGTGTGTGGGGAGGTGTCTTCGTTTCACTTCAAAAAGATGGTGAGATATTTTACAGTCATCAAGACTCAACTCCAATACCCACACTGGAAGAAGAGGAGAACGAGGAGGAGGAGGAGGAGGAGGAGGAGGAGGAGGAGGAGGAGGAGGAGGCGGCAGCCTGATGGGGTGGTATATACTTATAATCCAGAACTGGGAAGGTGGAGACATTCAGATTCTTGGGGCTTGCCAAACAGCCTAGCCTACTTGGTGAACTCTAGGCTAGTGAGAGACCCTGTCTCAATAAATAAACAAACGAACGAACAAATAAATAAAGTGCCAGGCGTGGTGCCACACTCCTGTAATCCCAGCACTCTGAGAAGCAGAAGCAGGCTGATCGCTGTGAGTTCGAGCCCAGCCTGGTCTACAAAGTGAGTCCAGGACAGCCAGGGCTACACAGAGAAACCCTGTCTCAGGAAAAAAAGGGGGGGTGCTAGAGAAAGAAGGAAAAGACAGAAGAGAGGGAGGGGAAAGAGAGAGAGAGGATGATTCCTGAGGAATGACTTTATGCGTGCACACCGGTGCATGTACTCTGGAGTGCGCACATGCGTGTGCACACACACACGCACGCACACACACAGAGCTAAACTCACCAGCAGCTAGGATCCCAAAATAACTCTACTCTCCGATTTACATATCGCCATGCTGGGAATAAACCAGTAGTGGAGATGATTGTGGTACCACTTAAAACCACTCACCACACCACCTTCAGGGGACAGAGTCAAGATCCCATAACCCTCTGCTGCTCCAAGAGCCGGCCCAGCCATGGATGATGTTTTCAGGGTAGTGGGGCGTGGCTGGGAACACAGTGAGTCCAGACTAGACAAGACTACACAGCGAGACCTTGTCTCCAAAATCAAAACAGTAACCAGTTTCAGGCATCTGACCAACTTTCAGTATTGCCAACCGGCTATATCTTCCTGGGAACAGGTGAAGAGCAGCTAGGCTTTTCTCTGAGGCTATTTTCAAGTGGTTTTGTGAGTCCCAGTCTGTGGGTTCAAGCCGAGGAAGAGGAGGAGGAGGAGGAGGAGGAGGAGGAGGAGGAGGAGGAGGAGGAGGAGGAGGAAGAGGTCTCTTGAAACAAGTGGGTTTTTGTTTGTTTGGTTGGTTGGTTGGTTGGTTGGTTTTTGTTTTGTTTTGTTTTTTTAAGACAGGGTTTCTCTGTGTAGCAGATCCCTGGCTGTCCTGGAGCTCCCGTTGTAGAGCAGGCTGGCCTTGAACTCACAGAGAACCATTGCCTCCACCTGGAGTGCTGGAATTACAGGAGTGCACAGCTGTGCCTGGCTGAAACAAGTGTTTTTTAAAGATCTAAACAGTTGAGCTAGAAAGGTAACTCAGTATGAGAGTGCTTGCACAACATCCATGAGACCCTGAG